TATATTTTGCTATTTAAATTTGAATTTAAATAGCAGCTTATTTATTGAATTTAAATATGAATTTATTTTTATGAGGACCAAAAGACAGGCCTCTGTCGGAAGAGACACCCCATCTCCTACTTCGCTAGGGGGACTATGTAGCCTGAGGAGCTGAGATCTGGGAGAGCCCAGCCCAGCGCCGCTGACCCATACTTACAAGCGCCATGAATGTACAAGGCTCCCTACCAGGATCAGGCTGCGCTGTGTTCCCCAGGCCCCTGCAGCCCCTGACCCTAAGTTCCCTTCTAGGGGAACCTGACCAAGCCACCTGGGCGAATGGGTGGACAGAGCTTCCGCTCCCGCCGCCACGGGCCAGAGCCGGTCGCCAGGGCAGGCTTCCCTGCCCATGGTTCCCTCCCCGCCCCTTCCCTCCCTCTCTGAAACCTGATCCAGCTAAGGGACTGAAGCAGGAAAACTTGGCGGCTCCCCAACTCTGGTGACCTGCGGAGTGCCGAGCTGCAGCCTCAGAAGGAAGCAGGCTGGCTGGGCAGGAGGCTGGCAGGGGCCGAGCTGGCTGGCCTTGGGTGCAGCTCACCCTGAGCATCTCCTCGAGGCCCTCCCGCCCTGGGACGCTCACCATGTCGCTGTGGCCCCAGCGGGCGCTGCTGGCCTTGCTCCTCCCCACCGTGCTGGCACAGGGAGAAGGTAAGGAGCGCGGGGGACGCACCATCCCCCAGACCTCGGCTGGCTCTCTGCAGAGCGGGGCGGGGCTCATCCTCCCAGGGTTGAGGGGCCTTGAACGCGGGGCTGTGGGGTTGCAGGGAGGTCAGCTGCCTCCCACATATGGCTGGAGAGGCTGAGTCCGGGGTAGGACCTGCTCAGAGGGACAGGTGGCTGCGGCCTGAACATCAGAAACACACAGGTAAGTGCCAGGAGAAGTCGCCTCTTCTCTTTGCCCAGTCCCTAAACTCAACAAAAGGCAGCTTCAAGAGACCTGTGAGCTCAGCTGGGTGGCCTTTTCCTGCTGTAAAGGCGTCCAGTGAATGGGGTAATTCACTCAAGAGCACACAGCCTCCCGGTAGCAGAGTGGAGGCCAGAAGTAATCTAGCTGCCGTTCCTCACCATCACTGGTCTTCACTGCTGGGGCTCCCTGTGCCTCGGTTCCCCCTTTCCCCTCCAGGTCTCGCCTCCAGTAGCACCAAGCTGTAGTTCAACTCCCTCCTGTCCTGACTCCCTTGCAAACAAGTGCCTGAGTCTCAGAGGGGTCCGGCTGCTTCTGCTGCAGACCACGCCCACACACCACCCCCCAGGAATGTTTCTCCCCCAACCTGGCTGGCTTGGAGCACCCCGGCACGCAAGAAGGATGCTTCCTAGGGGTTGGACAGACATACACGGCCACCAGCAAGGTGATGTTCTCCTGAGAGCCTTGCTTGGGAGAGAGAAAGTGCGAGTCAAAGTGGAGGGGCTTCCTGGGCTGGGACACACTCTATGCTCCTGGCAAGGCTCTGCTCTGTGACCCACTTGGACCAGTCTTGCCAAGCCTCAGCCGTGAAGAGGCAAAGGGTCTGGCCAAAGAGACGAGGCTCCTGCAGTGGCGGCACTGTTCTCACCCTTCTGAGCAGTAGGGTCCCTCTGCAGAGTGGGCTGTTAAGGTCAGCCACCCTGGCAGGGTATTCTGAGACTAGATTCTGCCAGACAATGTTATTCCAAAGGGGTTCAAAAATCAGTCTCTTGCCTTCCCTCTTTGCCCTTCAAGAGAGGCTGATAGCTTCTCAGGGCACGTGGATGAGGCAGAGGAAAGCAGCCTGCAGGACTGACCACCGTGGCAGGCACACGACGGCAAGGAAGAGGAGGGTGTGGGGAAGCCAGGCATGGCAGCGAAGCTGGGACTGGGTTTTCATGTGACCTTCATGTCCCTGTGGCCTCCTGCTCCCTCCAACCCCCCCCCCAACCTCCTTCCTAGCCTGGCCCAGGTTCTGCCTGCGGCCCTAGGAAAGGCCCTGGCAGACCCCCGGAGCACGGGTGGCTTGGCGGGAGGCAGAGGGAGTGTGCGTTCCTGGCCGATGCCCTTCTGTCCTTCTCTCCCAGTTGCAGATTGGGGTCAAGGCAACTGTGGGCTGTGCAGGGGCTGCAACCTGACCTGGCTGAGGAAGCCCGGGCACAGAGCAGGGGCCTGCAGACTGCACAGGCTCTGCACTCTCTTGCGGCCCTCTTGCCTGGCAGCGCCGCACACACCCACACTCTACTTCCTTTAGCTGCCAGGACCCCTTGCCACACTCCTCAGCCCACCTCCCCGCTCTTCCTGTGGCCCTTACCTGTGTCCCGTCACCAGACCTGACAAGCTGGCTTTCTGCTGGCCTTTTAAGTGAAGATGTAGGGAAGCCCCAGGTGAACATTCATCGGAATTTGGGCCTCTCCAGATGAGTGGTTCTAGTGGTGAGATTTTCAGTGCCTGGGGCTGGGGAACCCGAGAATTTTGTGAGGTACAGATACATCTGTGGCAACAGCTGACAAAACAATGTAAGAGATCCAAGGTGCACTTGGAGGATCAGATTTTCACTTTGAGCTTCTTTCCTTCCCAGCCAGGGGGAGGGAGACAGCCCAGGCTCACAGCTCCACCAGGCCGGCTCTGCAGAGGCTGTCAGACCACCTCCTGGCTGACTACCGGAAGGGTGTCCGGCCCGTGCGAGACTGGAGAAAACCCACCACCATCGCCATCGACGTCATCGTCTACGCCATCCTCAATGTGGTAAGCACACGGCCCCAGGCTGCCCCACCCACCCTTGCAGTGCACCTTAGATGTCACCCCATAGTCAAGCCCTGGCCTCTGTGGTACCACAGCTGAGGATGGGCTGCTGCAGCACCTGAGAAGCTGCCTGTCCAAACCACAGACTAGAGTCACTGTGAGGCTTCTCTCCCCATCCCGACGCTGGCTGTCACCTCCTGCCTGGCTGTCCACACACAGTGTGATGGTGACCATTTCTGTGGGGATTCAGTGAAGACTATCTTGTTCATCTCTACATCCTTGATGTCTTACATGGGCCCCTAATACATGACAGGGGTCACTAAACAGCGGTAGCATATTATTGTCAGCGCAACAGATCAATGGACTAATCAATGCTTTCATCAATCACCGTAGTAGTGTGGGTGACTGCGCCGCAGAAGAGGGCAGGCCTTGCGCAGAGATGAGCCAGGGAGCAGTTACAGAGGTGTGAGAGGTGGCGCGGGACTGGGACAGGGGAGGCAGGCCCTGACCACGGAGGCTCTGTTATGTCAACCTGCCCACCTGATACGTGATGGAATCATTTCTGGGGTGAAGAACAGCAAACAGGTTACCATGGAGCTTCAGAAGGAAAACGAGAAATTAGATGGGGGCTGGGGGATAATATTTTTTCACTTCATGGGGCCTTGGGCCTCTCAATTGCATACCAAGCACCCCGCCCTCTCTCTGTCCTTGTTTAACGACCTCCCAGTTTAATGACTGTTTGGTCTCAGAAGCGAAGCATACCGTTTGGACTTACATCCCGTTGCTCAGACTTATGACCCGTCTTTTACTTTGTACAGTTCTATACATCTTGTTTATAGAGCCGCAAGGTCTTTGCTTTTATTTGCATAACTCTTACGTGCAGTACTGTAATATATAACTGAACATAAAACTATAGTACTGTACTGTGTAGAAAAATCAGCAGAAATTACAGTACTGTATAAACAAGGCATACCATACAGAAAAAAAGACATTGAGGTCTATAAACAAGATGTCCAGGACTATAAAAAACGCAAGTCATAAGTTCAAAGAGAATGCCTCATGTGTAAGCCCAAACAGTCGTTAAATTGGTCAGCTTTTTTAAAATTTTTTTTGTACTTTTTAGGGAAGGGTCTACAGGGTGTTCAGGGTCTCACTACTAAATCACACTTATAGTGATCTACCTGTTTACAGCCTCCCAAGAGCTGGGATTACAGCCCCATGCCACCACACCCAGTCTCATTTGCTAGCTCTATAGACCCTGGGGGTGGGACCAGTGCAGCAGGCCTGGGCATCAAACCCCTGGCCCTTGCACCTGCTTGCAGGTGCTTTAATCCACTGAGTTATTTGGCCGGCCCTTGGTCAGCCATTAAATGAGGAATATCTGTAACTAAATTATGTATAATTCTTAACAACATTACACATACCCTCAGCGTCTGTCAGTCGTGGTGAATGTACAGCATGTGTGCTGTTTGGTTTTCTTTTGAAATAAAATATGTTAATGGAGGAGATTTTTTTTCTAACCTGAAACCTCAGTATTCAGGTTTAATTGCAGTGTTAGCAGTTTGCAGTAAATAAGTGGGTTTTGGGTTGCAGTCTCCAAAAGTTTTTCCATCCCTGGTGTATATTATTCACAGCATAACATAATATGTAAATTTAAAGATATAGAACATAAGGTATATACTGTACACCTATATACCTTCTATTATAATTACATAGCGGTACATGAAAATGATAGGAGGCACTCATAATTTTTTTTAATTATTTATTTATTTTTATTACATTTATTTATTGTGTGTGTGTGTGTGTGGCCAGCTCAGCCCACCAGGGGGCAGGGCTGGCTGGCATGTGGTGCTGGGGGATTGAACCGCGGTCCCTGTGCTTTGCCAAGCTTGTTTCAAGTAGGTGCTTTAGACCACTGAGCCATCTCTCCAGCCCATAATTTTTAATATGAATATTAAGTGTGACCCACGGGAATGAGTCACACTTACGCAGCTCCATCGGGGTCGATGGGTGCAGGGCCACTTGTCTGAGCTCCCCTTCCCTTCCCAGGATGAGAAGAATCAGGTACTGACCACCTACATCTGGTACCGGCAGGTGAGTAGAGCAGCCCCCACCCAGCCCCACTGTCCCATCCCAGCAGTCAGTAATCCCAGCGGCCTTCATGAGGAGAGGCTCTGGGAGAGGCTCGGAGGTGTGCTCTCTGTGAGGCCCAGGTGTCTTCCCATCTCAGAAGAGCAACAGGAAGCCTAAGGGTTAGTGCAGGGAAGCCCCAGCCCCTTTGCAACTGCTCCACAGCATTGCAGAGAAGTTCCTGTCTGGTCTCTGTTAAGGACCACTTAAGGAACTCACGAGGCGGCAACTTCACTTTCAGTCAGTTCACGTTGCTAGAAAGCTCTTTCAGCTACGAAGCCAAGCTGGACAGCAGCCATGTTGGGTAAGACAGGGTGACTGCATCCACTGAGGCCTCAGGGCCCCAGCTGCGTCCCCACCCATCCAGCTTCTGCTGCACACAGGGCGTGGCCGTGCACTGGCTTTGGGCTTGTGGGAGCAGAACAGCCGCTGCCCATGGACGGTCCTTCTCGAGCAGTTGTTGGGGTTGGGAAAAAATCTGAGCACAAGGGAAAGCGAGATGCTGAAGAGTGAGAGCATGGGGGCGAGGACAGCTCACAGAGGCCAACCCAGGAGACGGCAGGTGACGCCGGCCTAGGTGGGCCTCTGGGAAAGCCTCTCCCATAGTCAGGCACCCACTCCTCTGCCCCCAGCATCTCCTGTGACAGGAAGTGGGGTGGGGAAAAAGCCAGAATGTGGATCCTTTAATATGAAGCACACCCGGCGAGTCCTTTCTCTGGAACGTGCAGCTGGGTCCCACCTGTGGACCTCTAGGATCACCTGCCTGTCTGCCTTAGCTGTTGCAATGAGTGGGGAGGGAAAGTCAATTCACCGTAGACAGGTGGTGATGCTACAAGGCTGGAATTAAAGATACAAACTAGAGCCAGGGAGATGGCTCAGTGGAATAAGCACTTCCCTGGCAAGCACAAGAGACTGAGTTCAATCCCTGGTTCTGCAAAAAAAAAAAAAAAAAGATACAAACTCGACTGGGCCCTGGCTCACCATGGGCTCACAGATGAAGGGAAGCCATGGGCATAAGCACAGATCGCGGAAGCACAGCACAGCTGCTGCCCCGGCACTCGTGGGAGCAGGGAGGAGGCTGAGATCACCCTCCCTGGGACCTGGGGTCGTGGGAGGTGTCTTGGAGGAAGGACACGGGTGATCTGGCTCAGGTTAGAAGTGTTGGGAGCAGGGGGTGGGAAGGCACCGCGGTGAGACAGCAAGAGAGAAGGAGCAGGTTCACAGAGATGTAGAGGCTTCCGTGGTGTTTAACTCCACAAGCACAGAATTTACAAAAAGATGTGGCCCAAAATGAGGCTAAAGGGATGGTGGAGGACTTGATGGGTCCATAAAGTTCAACATTTTTTTAAGGGCAATGGGACACAATAGAAGAATTTTTAAATGTTCCTTTCAGATTGGTCATTCTGGCATAAGAGTGGAGAATGTATTAATGAAAATATGACAGTAACCACCTGTGCTCTGTGAAGTGGGTGCTGGTATCCCTACTTATGCGTGTGCAGGCCCCAAACTAGGAAGTCATTTGTCCATGTCCCTGAAGTTGGTGGGCAGCACGTTCTAGCATTAGGAATGGCTGCTGGCCTTCCAGGGTGGCGATCACATCCATCCATATTGTCACGCATGAAAAGACAGTATTAGGACAGAGGGTGGGGGTGTCTCTGTTACTACTGAGTGATTTAGGGGCCATCGACACCCAGATTTTCATAAGAAGATGCCCATTTGTCACCTGGGCATGAGGGGTGAAGTCCGCTGCACGCAGGTGACCCTGAGTGCACCTGTGACATTCCTGCTGTCCTCCCAGTTCTGGACGGATGAATTTCTCCAGTGGAACCCTGAGGACTTTGACAACATCACCAAGTTGTCTATCCCCACGGAGAGCATCTGGGTCCCCGACATTCTCATCAACGAGTTGTGAGTATCGTCGCCGAGCCCTGGCAGCTAGCCGGGTGGCTGTGGGGCTCAGAGAAGCCAGGCGCTGGGAACAGAACTGTTGCAGGCTGTAGATAAAGTTAGCTTGGATCCAGTCTCCTTTGTTTTTGCTTCTTTCCTTTTATAAAGCTTTCTCTTTTTGTTTTTCTGTGCCTGATGCTGAGTCTCTGCACTTACAAGTCCAAGGGCCCATGTCACAGGGAAAGCAGCCAGTGAGTGAATTCACGCTGAGCTCTAACAGCCTAATGGGGACAGCTGCATCTTTAAAGGGAGCAGTTACGCTTTTGCAAGGAATAGAACATCGACGGCAGCCACTGCACCTGGCCACAGAGGAGAATTAGAGCTAGGAAACACGTTCAGATCTCCCAGACCATACAAGGGCCTTGCTGGCCACCAGTGGCATCTCCAGTGTGAAGTGGATCCCACCAGCTTTTGTTCCCCACAGCCACACAGTCCCACTTGGCCCCAGCGAGAAAGACTTTGTCCCCATCCTGCAAGTTCACACAGGGTCCCCCAGCTGAATTTCTGAATTCAAGGGCAGGTACAAGACCTAGGGCAATGGATAGGAAGTGGAAGGTGACAAGTAGGTCCATCCAGGGCCCACAAAATTGCCCAGCTCCACAGGGCACCGCTGACTTTTTCCTACCCCTCTATGTGCTGCCTAGCTCTGGCTAAAGGGATTCTGGGAAATCCACTCCTAGCCAGATTTCCAGTCTCACAGGGAAGTAGCTTAAGTCTGGACTTCTTATGTCCTAGCCTGATCCCACAGAGGGCGGAAGCCCAGGGTCGCAGCTCGCTCACATCATGCCACTATGCTCACTCAGGAGAGCCTACGGGTCCAGAATCTGCCAAAAATACCGGGATGAAGTTGTACTGGACTTCCCTGGGATTCCCAAATTCTTATCCATGGATCCCCCTGTTCTTTCTCCAGAGACACTTATTTTTAGTTTTGCTTTCAAGGGCTTCTAGGAAACAGGAGCCAAAAAATGGCTACGTGAGGACACAAAGTGTGCTCTTCCCCCCGCCCCATGCCCGTCTGTTACAACAACCCTGTTAGTCAGAGGATGACCCCAGCCTGGCCCCAGAAGCAGGCCTCTGTGACAGCACAGGGCAGTTGGGCAAGGCCCCTGTAGCCCATCATCTTGGAGCCCGTGGATGCCATCCTGCTCTTTGTGGTAGGATGCTAGGTGAATAAAGGAGCCACACCCTTTACTCCAGGAAGCTAGCCCTGACCATGGCAGGCCACGATTGGAAAACCCTCCAGCTTGTCTTGCTGTCTATACTCTTCGTGAATTTCTTCTCCTGCTGAGAGGCTTAGAGACTACGGAGCCCCAGGGCTGGATCTCTCGTGAGCCCCCTAGTCAATTCTTCTTTCCTGGCCAGTGTGGACGTGGGCAAGTCTCCAAGCATCCCGTATGTGTATGTTCAGCATCAAGGTGAAGTCCAGAACTACAAGCCCCTGCAGGTGGTGACTGCGTGTAGCCTTGACATCTATAACTTTCCTTTTGATGTGCAAAACTGCTCCCTGACCTTCACCAGCTGGCTGCACACCAGTGAGTACGGCGCTTTGGGGTCAGGGGCAGAGCTGGGTGGCCCTGGGTTGCCCGAATGAGGCCACTCTCTATAGTGCGTTCTCCCTTGTTCAACTTACCGTTGCTTTGTTTGCTTTCTTTTTAACAGTGCTGGGATTTGAACCCTGGGCCTCCCTCATACATACCGTGCACACCCTGAGCTATACTACTGAGCTATATATTCCCAGCCCCAAACACGTATTTTCTTAATGTCACTGAGCCTCTGCTTCCTCCCCCTCCAAACGCGATCAATATGGCTGCCCTCACCGCTTCCTCCAGTTATTCTAAGGATTTAATGAGACGGTGTGAGCTGACTGCAAAGCGTTCAGTAAGGAACAATTCTTTTCCAGCATCCCAAACAGGATGTGACACCAGCCACCTCCCAGACAGACATGCCCTGCCTCTCTGCGCCAGCCCCCTCCAAGCCACCCTCCTTGCCTGCTCAGGCGGCTGCATTAGCTTGCTACCTGGTCTTCCTTATTCATTCATTTCTTTTTAGTGCCTGTGTGCAATTCCTACAGTTTATCATCATCTTATGCATTCCAGCTCTTGCTCCTCACTGCAGCCAGCCAGCGAGCTCTTATCAAAATGCAAATCTGATGGAGTCACTCAAAACCCTTGAAGGCTGGCTTCCCAGCAGTCCTAGGACTCAGTCCAGAACCTTGACCTGCCCTGCAGTGCCCCAGCCTCCCCTGGCAGGGCTCCCCTGAGCCCCGCTCCAGCCCCGCTGCTCTCTCCCCTGGGCCTAGAGCCTTTGTTCCTTCTCTTTATCACATTCAGATTCTCTTAAGCAGTCTGGCACCCTCTCTCCACCCTCTCTCAATCTGCCCCCAAGTCACACCCAGCCTGGCCACATCTCTGGTCATCCCTGGGAAGCTCCATAAGTATCAGCTCCTAGGGGCAAACCTCTCCTTCCAGGATGAGGGCATTGCTACTGTAGAATTGCAGAATTCCCGGTTTTTCTCAGCACCTCTAATCATACTTTCCAATACCTGTTCAATGCCTGTTTATCTCACAGATATAAACTTAGGTAGGGGGCTGGGGAGATAGCTCAGCAGCATAAGCACCTGCCTTGCAAGTGTAAGGTCCCAAGTTCTATCCCTGGTACCACAAAGTAAATAAATAAATAAATAAATAAATAAATGTGTGCCAGCCCTACCCTGGGGTGCACTGAGACAGCAATTGAGACTGGGTGTGGTGACACAAATCTATAATCCCAGCACTTGGGAGGCTGTAAACAGGCAGATCACTATGAGTCTGATCTAGTAGTGAGACCCTGAACACCCTGTAGACCCTTCCCTAAAATACAAAAATAAATAAATAAATAAATAAATAAATGTGCAGATAAACTTAGACAGGGATGCGATTTCTGTTGCAATTAGATACCTAGCACAGTGTCCGAGCCAGAGGAGTGCGCATGGCAGATTTTAGTGAGTGAGTGGGAGCCAGGGGCTCTCTCGAGGAGGACAGGACAACAGCACTGCTCGCTTGCAAAGAGCATCTCTGTCTCCATCTATCTATGCATTATACGAAAGTATGGTAATAACATACAGCTTCCTTGGCCAACAGTCGAGAAGGCTGCGGTAGCTTTAGCGCTCTATCCTCGACCTCAAAGTCTTCTCCAAAAGCTCCCTCCAGCAAGATGCAACCACTCGTGTAAACCACACTCGGTCCGTTCTTCCCGCTCTTCTCCACCCCTTTCCATCCACATGGTAGGTGCCCATAATCATTATGCGAAGGACCTCTTGCACAGTTACACCCCACCAGGTATATGTATACAGAGAGCTGCTGCCCCATAACCGAAGTCTCTTATTTCCCTAATTCACCTTCAAGACTGGTAGTTCTGTCATGGCAAAGGTGAAGAATGGATTTTTTTTCTTTTCTTTTTCTTTTTTTTAATTTTTAGTGAAGGGTCTACAGGGTATTCAGGGTCTCACTACTAGATCAGACTCATAGTGATCCTCCTATTTACAGCTTCCCAAGAGCTGAGATTATAGGCGCATGCCACCATGCCCAGTCTCAATTGCCGGCTCAGCGCACCCTGGGTCGAGGCCAGCATGACAGGCCCGGGGACTGAACCCCTGGCCCCTGCGCGTGCAAGAATGTTGAATTTAGTTCCCAAAGATTAATTCTAAAGGGAAACTTAGAAAGGTTTTAGCAGGTTGATAGCTTATTTGGTTCTTTGCATTGTGCTCTTTCTCTCTTTCTCTCTTTCTCTCGTTCTCTCTTTTGGTGGAACCGGGGATTGAACTCAGACCCTTGTGCTTGCTAGGGAAGCGTTTATTCCACTGAGCCATCTTCCCGGCCCCGCATTTTTTTAATTAATCAATTTGGTACAGAGTTTCACTACCAAGCTCAGGCTCTACTGATCCTGTCTCAACCTCCCCAGCACTGGGGTTGCAGGCATGTACCACCACACCCAGTTTTGGGGCTGGCACAGCATTTGGTACCAGGGATTGAACCCAGGTCCTTCAGCCTGCTAGGCAGGTGCTTGCTAAGACTGCTGAGCTATCTCCCCAGATCTACGCTGTGTGTTTCTACCCAAGGACTTCCCCTGCCCTCCCTACAAACCTGTGGGATGCGCCCAGGATGTAATGGAACTGTATTTTATAGCTAAAGGAAATGGGGCCAGTGGTGAAGGCAGAGGCGTGAGGTCTGGGGTTGACATCAGGGCTTTTGGCCACTGCCCACGCCACACTCCACCTTCCAGGGTCTGCCGGCTCAGAACTCGAGGTTCCAAAACGGGCCTGATTTCTTTTGTCCCAGTCCAGGACATCAACATCTCCCTGTGGCGCTTGCCCGAAAAAGTGAAGTCTGACAAGAGCGTCTTCATGAATCAGGGCGAGTGGGAGTTGCTCGGGGTGCTGACCCAGTTTCTGGAGTTCAGCGACCGGGATAGCAGCGGGTCCTTCGCAGAGATGAAGTTCTACGTGAGTGGGAGTGGCTAAGGTGGTGACGTAGAGCGTCATACCCACGGGTGCTTATGGAGCATGCGGGGAAGGACGTCCAAGTCCCTTCTGCACACCGCAGCGCAGGAACTCCTCGCTGTGAGGGAGGGCGAAGGCCGCGGCTCCCGGAGCGGAGCTGTCCGTCGCAGGCTTTCTCCTAGCTCCTCTCCTGCTCGCAGGTGGTCATCCGCCGGCGGCCCCTCTTCTATGCCGTCAGCCTGCTGCTGCCCAGTATCTTCCTCATGATTATGGACATCGTGGGCTTCTACCTGCCCCCGGACAGCGGCGAGAGGGTCTCCTTCAAGATCACACTCCTCCTGGGGTATTCGGTCTTCCTGATCATCGTGTCTGACACGCTGCCAGCCACGGCCATCGGCACACCGCTCATCAGTAAGGCCTCTCCTGAGGGAAGGGCCCACCCGCCACCGGCCCACCGGGGACCCAGCTCCTCCTGCAGCTTGTGTGTACGGCCGTCCTCCAACACTGCCCGTGGTACACAGGTGTCTACTTCGTGGTGTGCATGGCTCTTCTGGTGATAAGTTTGGCGGAGACCATTCTCATCGTGCGGCTGGTACACAAGCAAGACCTCCAGCGGCCTGTCCCCCCCTGGCTGCGGCACCTGGTTCTGGAGAGAATCGCCCGCCTGCTCTGCCTCCAGGAGCCGTTGACCTCCCCGAGGCCGCCAGCCACCTGGCAAGCCCCCAAGACTGATGACTTCTCAGGTAAGAGGGGAACAGGATGTGGGGGAGCCACACACAGAGAGGTCATTTCTGGTCTGATTGCAGGGACACAGTAGGGAGGCTGTGAAGGCTGTGGGGCACCTGACATCCTGGGAAGAACCGGGAGAATGGGTACGATCTTGCTCATGACAATCCACAACCACCTTATTAGGAGCAGGTGGACTTCGGCCAAAGGTGTCAGTCTACACCCTTGCCTCCCTTGTGCACTTTCCATAAGCCCAGCTGTAGACAGAGAGCATAGAGGTCCTAGAGTCCGCTCCCATCAGAGCCAAGAAAGACCTCAGAGGTGGACCCACAGCGAGGTCCCACAGATGCCCTGTGGGTGGTCATTGGCCTAGGGCCTCATACAGTGAAACACTGCTGCTGAAATTTCTAAAATGCTCCCATCATAAGCAGCTCAGAGCCGGGGTCCCCCAGAATTTCAAGCACCAGTGGGGCAGAGAGATGGGTTCAGAAACCACTCAACACAGAGCGCATCCTTCCTGACTTGGCAGTGTCGGCTAGCTTGCTTGCCGAGCACTTTGTGTCAAGCAAGTACAAAGCACTGTGTGCACGCTTTCACCTCTCATACTCATGAAAACACAGGGTGATCATTATTCTTGGGTCTCCAATGAGGAAATAGAAGCACAGAAGGGTTAGGTAGCTTGCCTCATGTTGCAGAACCAGGAAACAGAAGAAACAGAATTGAACCCAACTCTAGGCTTGGGTTTCTAACCTTTCTCCATTCTGCTCCATTCTGTCCTTCCTCCTGGTGGGGTCCAAGCCTTCTAGGAAGGCTTCTGGCCCATCCAAGACCATGAGCAGTGCACTGATTTCAAAAGGCACTGTTTCTGAGGGTGCCAGAAGGACATGACGTCATGGGGAGGAGCCACCCTTTCAGAGGCAGACGCTGTGGCCAGGAGAGCCATGAGCTAGGAGCCCACACACCAGCCCAAGATGGTCTTGCCATTACACGATGCTTTATCAGTTGGCCTCTTTGAGCTTCAGTACCATCACTAAATAGTAGGGACAATAATCACTCCTGTGCGGACTCCCACATGGGGCCACTAGAACCTACAAATGGAAGAATGAATATCAGATGGCTGAGGAGATCCTCCAGGGTTAAAAATGCACAAGAAGAAGAAAAAAAAAAAAAAAGCCAGGGCCGGGGTGATGGCTCAGTATGATAAGCACTTGCTTGGCAAGTGTAAGGGCCTGAGTTCAATCCCTGGTTCTGCTAAAAAAAAAAATGCACAAGAAGGATAAACACTAATCTCATGCTGCTGCTGACTTGGGGAAGGGTAGAGGATGTGACTAAGGTGAGGTATAGCAGAGTCCTCAATCGTGTTGGCTTTTAAATTTAGTTGAAGTTGGATGGTGGCTATGCACATATGTGAGTTATTCTAAATATGTCTCAAATTGTTTGTAATAAAAATGTCTGCAGGCTGTGGAAACGTAAGGAGCAGTGTTCAGGCCAGCTACCTGTGCTGCGGCTCTTACCCAGGCTCTGCCCTTTTTGCAGTCATGGGAAACCACTGTAGCTCTTTCAGAGGACCCCAGGACTTAGAGAAGACCCCAAGAGACAGAGGCAGTCCTCCCCCTCCCCCACGAGAGGGCTCCCTGGCGGTACGTGGGCTGCTGCAGGAGCTGTCCTCCATCCGGCACTTCCTGGAGAAGCGGGAAGAGATCCGTGAGGTGGCCCGGGATTGGCTGCGTGTGGGCTCCGTGCTGGACAAGCTGCTCTTCCGCATCTACCTGCTGGCAGTGCTGGCCTACAGCATCACCTTGGTCACGCTCTGGTCTGTCTGGCACTATTCTTGAGTTAGCACGGCCCAGCAGCGCAAGGAACTTGCTGCTGGTTAGAGTGGGAATGCAGAAGGGCTGCTTCCAGGCCCAAGGGTGCTGGAGAGATTCCCAATACACGGAGGCAGCCTCACCCCATCTTCAGTGCCAGCTCACCCTAGCAATGCCAGGCCAGGCTTGGACCTCCCCCAAAGCACAGTGTTCAGTACCCTTATATCCTCTGCCCCCACCCCCAAACTGCCCATTATGGCTTTAAAACATGGTGTCTTAGATCATCCCCCTACCTCGATTCCACTTCTCTGCATCACATCTGTTTCCCCATAGGCCTTCCTCTTGGAAGGCACTTGGAATTCTGCTCACTTCCAGCAACCTTGTTTTTAGATAAAGACAAAACCAACTGGCTTGTCCACAGCCCTCATGACTGCATCTGGTTTATCCAGCCCCAAACATCTTCACCTGCAGCCACTTCCATCAGCTGAGGCTGGGGTTGAGGGTAGATAATAAAGTGCAATGAATCCTTAAACTCTCTTCTTTACTATTTGTCAGAAGTTTGGGGTGGGGGGCAGCAAGATAGTTCAGTGGACTAAAGCACCTGCTTAGGCAAGCACATGCCATGCCAGCCCCACCCCCAGGGTGGGCTGAGCTGGCCAGAATCCAGGTGTTGAGATGTGTGCCTGTAATCCCAGTGCTGGGGAGGCTGAAAGCAGGAGGGTTACCAAGAGTCCAAGCTGCATAGTGAGACCCTGTAACCAACAAATACATTTTTTTTAAAGTTTGGGGAAAAGGTTGATGGGGGAAGAAGTTTATAATTCTAATGGAGCTGCAGGTTATCTATAGTTTTCAGGGAACTAGAATGTGAAATGGAAGCTGTTACAAAAGAAGAAGCAATAGGATGTGGGATTTATGCGTGGGGGGCTGCCCATTAGCTCAGTTGGTTATGTGCCTGCTTAAGCAAAGCAGTCAGGCTCAGGATTCTGTGGCTCAAGCCGCAGGTCCTCATGTCTTACCAGATCTGCCCTTAAGGCATCCTGAGCCGGCCAAAAAAAAATCCTTAAGTATGGTGCAAGTCCGGGCTCTGAACACCTAGCAATGGGGAGAAGAGAGGAGACAGCTCAGCTCTGTGGGAAGATTCTAGAAGGATTTGCATAGTTCTGTTATTGTTCTGGGCTTAAGGTCTCTCTGTAAAGCTAGAAACAAGCAGACTCCTCCCAGCAAGAGGACTCTGCAAGGGCGACAAGGACTTCAGAACCATGGCCAGCGCTCCACCAATTTGGCGCTTAGAAAACACCATGAAAGATAATTCTAGCCTTAGGTTTATCCTTTTGGGGGGGAGGAGAGGAGACCAGGGATTGAACTCAGGCCCTTGCACTTGCCAGGCAAGCACTTATTCTACTGAGCCATCTCCCCTGCCCCTAGGTTTATCCTTGGGAATTCTCAGACCCTGGCCCTGACAGCCCACTGGAAAACAGAACCCTAGAGGGGAAGGTTGGGAAGATGTTGTTTTATCTTCTCACATCCTGGCCCTCTGTCCGAGGTATCAGGGCTTAAGACAAGCTAAAGAACTCTAACTCTATCACTCCACCCACCTAACAAGCATTCAAAGAAGAATGCTAGCTCCCAGCATCGGTGACCTGTTCTGGGGCACACATGAGGCTTTCTTGGCTCTCCAACGAGCATTCCAGCCTTATCCTTCCCTGTCTTCGTCTGCCTGACATTCAGAAAGCCTTGTGGGGGCTGGGGAGATAGCACCTGCCTGGCAACCGCAAGGACCCGGGCTTGACTCCCGGTATCCCATGCTGCACCAGCCCCAAATCTGCTGCTGTGCTGGCTGCCGAAACCAAGCATGGTGGTGCATACCTGTAATCCAAGCACTTGGGAAGCTGAAAGCAGGAGAATCACTACGAATCCCATCTTTGTAGTGAGACCCTGTAGACCCCACCCTAAATACAGGGGGAAAAAAAGCCTCATGGAAAGGTGCAGAAGGCAGCCAGCTTAAAGAGAAAGGACCCCAAGGAAAGATATTGGATGAATCTTAACATTTCCACCACTTTTCCTGCTCTTTTAGACCAGCCAGGTAGTAGAGATTTGGTGAGGACAATATGGCATGGTAAACTCCCCTGGAGGCTGGACAGAGGGCAGCACTGTGGGTAGAAGCCCTGGTTTCTCCATGTCCACACAGCCTGCAGGCTGCGGAAGGGCCTTGCCCACTACAGCTTCTTGCTTTTTCTCAGCCCAGGTTCCCCAGCATGTCACACTCAATCATTGCTACCTGACTTCTCCTCCCTAAGGTAAAGGCGGAGGAGATAGCTCAGTGGCACAAGCACTTGCCTGGCAAATAGAAGGTCCTGGGTTCCATTTCCAGTATCCTCTGTCCCCCCAGAAAAACCCACCTACCTAAAGTGACCTGAGAATGAGGTCTCATCTGCCCCACCCACTCCAGAGGCAGTGTTACTTGGGGATCTTATATCTATGTTCATTTCGTTGGAGGGTAGGATGGCCTCCACTCGCCCCTGCTGCCTCTGTCTGAACAAGACTGGGCAAAAGATGGGGCTGTTGCTCTTCCCTGCAGCCCATGGGATGGAGCTTGGTTTAAGGACCTAAAGCTGCCCTACTCCCCTGGGACCTGCTCGGGCCCGTCACACTGCTAGGTGATTCTCACATCTCAGGTCAGAGGGAGAGGAAGCCGGACAGTCCGGCCCTGTCAATGCACCGCTGGTCAGTAAGTGGGTGGCTATTGACAAAATGTCCAACCAGAGAGCTAGTAAGACACTAATCAACCTATTGATTCTCCATCTCCCCCTCCTCACCCTTCACCCACAATCAATGGGGCGACAGAGCCCAGCACCTAGCAGCCAATTAACCACCCTGAGAATGAGGTGCCACGTGGAACATCTGCTCCCCTGGCCACAGCCAATCAGCACATCGATCTGGCACCTGGCTATGCTGCCCAGGGATGGCAAACTGAGGCTTAGGACCAGAGAACCCTAATATGCTAACTCCTGTCCACTTTGTGCTTCTCCAAGAAGACCTCGGCTGTGTGCTTGGGATATGCCCTGGATCTCCCTCCCATCCCTTGCACCTCCTGGAGGCATACCCCTGCCTTGCCTTTGGGCCACTGCCTCAGTTGGAGAGCGCTGTGCTTCTATCAGGGCAGTTCTTGTTCCTCTCATCTCTGCGACGGCCTCCCTATGCCCCTCCCGAGTCCGATTCTCATCTTTTCCCACCTGCCTTGATCCAACACCATCATATCTACTGAAAAGATTCCATTGAAGCTTTTAGAAGTGCCAGCCAGACCCCCCAGCCCTCTGTGAGCTCCTGACAGCTCCTGACTGCTGGAACCTGCTGGAACCTGCTGGCTTGGGGAGGGGGATCCAGAAGTCCAGGAGGGAGGCTGAGCTCGGAGGACCGGGCAGGAGCCCAGGGGAGATTTCTCTGAGAGACTCTGGAGAAGGAAAAGTTTCCTGGTCGGGTGAAGGAGGGAGAAATGCGGTACAGCGTTCAGAGGCCAGGTTCCCCTCCCTCCTCCCTCCCCCCAGCCTCTGAATCAATACATTTTGAATCTAATCTAATAACAGAGATTTAACGAGGGGATAATGCGTGTGGAGCTGCCAGGCTCTTTGTCTCTCCTTTCAGGCGGCAGCTGGGGCCCATTATCCGGGGACAATGCCCCAAGCTAATCACTCCCTCTCCTCCCTCCCAGTGGTGGGGAGGGGCAGTGGGCAAGAGAGGGCAGCTCCTCCCTTGATTGGAAGGGAGGTGAGGGGTTCACAGAGAGGGGAGGATGGGGGAGGGGGCGCTTCCGTGGGTCCCCACACAACCGTCCTGGCCTGATACCAGCTCCCTGGCCTTCGCCCCCAGCCACACTGTACACAGTCCAGCAAGAAGTCCAGGGAGCCGTCCTACGGCACGCAAGCAGATAATTACTGCTCAGCTGCAGCGCAGGGCTGCAGTTGGTGTTTTGTGGGGTTCTTTTTCTTTCTCTACCTTGGTCCTCTATAATTTAAAGCTATCCCACTGCGGCCTGTGGTTGGCCAGCCCTGACTGTCACGGCTGCAAAAGCAGCCCTGGTTTTAGGGAGCAAGAATCCTCCCTGAAGCAGAGGCCCCTCCGTACCCTCCGGCTCCTCTGTTTGGCTTTGTGGAGGTCAAACAGCAAGAAGAACTGATGCTGCCACTGATCCTACAGGGATGAGGTCCGGAACTGAGAAGGAAGGGATAAAATCCTGCCTGCTGGAAGCTGGAGAGCAGAGGCCAGGGAGGGGCAGCCCTGCCTCGGTTTCCTTCAGGATCTCGGGAGGAGCAGCACAGCACGGCAGAGGCTCAGCCACCTCTGATCCCGACTGAAGCACACGCACAGGGGACAAAATAAGGGTGCGGCGTGGAATGGAAGGCCCACGTGTGACGCTTGGGCCCAGCACAGGCCAGCGGCGGAGCTGACTTGCAGTCACCTCCCTGGGCCTCCTGGGAATGGACTCCCAACATCTCAGCCATAAAACAAGGATCAGATCAGAGCCCGGCTCATAGGTGTGGTGGGCACCAGTCCCCAGTATGGAAACCATGCCCAGAGAAATCCCCAGACTGAGGCGCATCAGCCCCCCTTGGGCCCCTCACACAATTTGAAGGGTGGTGAGAACTGCTCCCCAGGGGACACCGCAGGACAGCTTCTACCTATCATGTTTATTTAGGCAGTAGCAGTTGAGCCCAGGCACATTCTACCGCAGAGTTACGTCCTTGGCCTTCTTCTAGTTCTGTGACAGACTGGCCTCCCGGTACCTGGGATAACAGGCATGTACCTCCACATCTAGGTGCTGTTTCAGGGGTGAGCTGGACTCCCCCCTTAGGGGCAGGGGACACAAGTACCTGACCCAAAGGCTGCACCCAGCCCTCCGAGTGTCATGCTCTGTGTCCCTTTCCCTCCCACTGAAGCTCTCTTACCCCTGTACATTTGTGACTTCTTGGCATAGAGTTCTTCCCTAAAGCCCTACCCAATCCAGGTTGGGTCTCACCTATGCACGCGACCTCCTGTGGCCCTGTGCCTGAAAAGAAAACTAAACTCCTGGCAGAGAGACACACCACAAGTATAATATCTGGGACAGTTAGATCCTTGAAATTCACCTCTGTGTGCCTGGAGAGAATCCCGTACTCAATACTCAGAAGAATTTATCAGAGGCTCCTGACAGATGTCAATCTTGGGCCCAGGGCAGCCACCACCCTGCCTTCTAGATTCTGTCCACAAGGTGGCAGCAGAGTCCAGAAGTTCTATGGAGAAGTCTGGCGCACCTCTTGTCA